ACACTTGCTGGTCTATTTTTCTTGATCTGTGAAATTATCTCCAAAGATTGTGTGAATCATGGCTGGTTTTCGGGAGTGAAGGAATAACAAAAAGATTATTTTTAAAGTATTGACAGTAAAGAAATACAAACATAACCAGAATATGCTTGGTTAAGACTTAGGTAAGTTTTCTGTTTGTATGGCAGAGTTGAGAATACAAACTTGTGGTTTATTAAAGACTGTAAATTGAGCCTGTATCAGATATGTTATTTCTTCACATAAAATAAACTAGAATTGTGTGTTAATAAATAGCAATAATTAATCTGAAAGTTCTTTTTTCATGTTCCTTTCTGAATTCCATTTTGTTTGGAAGAAGAAAGGTTTTGCCCCACTGAGCTTTTGCAAATATCAATAGCAGCTGTATCCCAAACTCACAGTATCCCTTTGCAAATGCTCCCTGAGTTCCATCCCTCTTCTCCAATATCTTGACAAGCCTGTATAAAAGTTATCAAAAAGAATACTGATCACATGCAACACTTACAAAATTGGCAAATTAATTGTTAATGTTCATTGTCATTTTCACTTAACTAAGACTGAAAAACATGAAATGTTATATATTTTCTTCCCTATCCCTGAGTGTTCCCATTTCTTATGATAGGTACGTATTGTTAATTTATTTTCACAGAACTCTTTGCACAGGTTGGTTATGGTGTGGGGTGATGATTCTGGACAAATGAACATGCAAATTTCTTATGTAGTTCATTTTCTTAATCTGCTGTGAACCAGAACATCAGATTACAGGCAGTGATAGATGGATCTAAGCACCTTCTCTTCAGAGCTCATCTTTATCCTCATCACCAAAGATGATTACTTTCTTTCATAACCCTGCAAAATGTTAAGCCCAGTAACAGTAGTCTCAGAGCACATGGAGCAGTGCTATGTTTCAAAGTGATCTAAAAAAGAATGGAGGTGAGGGGAAATGCTGCCTGTCAATCTCTAATCTAAAATAAATCTTCCTAAACTTAGAATATAAAAAGTAGATGGATCTTTCCTCATTAAACAGCATTCTCTTAACTAGTGATTTTACAGTCCAAAACAGGTGCAATGTGTCATGAAATTTATGGATCCTAGCACATGCCATAAAGTATTTTATGATGGCTGCATTCTGTGTTATTAGTAGCTGTCTTTTTCTGCAGCCATCAGTGTTTGATAATACTCTTAAAACACCCAAAATTACTTACCTGCAAGCAACATTCCAGATAGTCCCTGTTGACAGTTTGAATAAGTTTAGTGCCCTTTTGTTGTACTTTACCTTCAAAACAGACTGATTGAACCATCAATAGCTCCTGAAAGCTGACAGAGGCATGTCATCTGGTCTAACCCTCTGATAGTAGGTTATCTGTGGGAGTTAACCTCCCTGCATTGTTAACTGAAATGTTTTATGTACTATGCAACTTTAGGATACTGCTGTGATAACCTTAGTAACTAAGTCATACATCACAGTAAAGAGATTTTGTGCAACAAATAACCCTGGATTAAATTTACAAGGGTTGAATTGATATTGTAAAGTGTTCATTCCAGGGATTTGGTAATCCTTTTCTCTACTTTTATGGCAAACTTTTGTTCCATTTAGATTGAAACTGCATCTTCATATTTCTAGCTAAAATATAACCAAGAAATCCAACAATTTTCTTCAGCCATTTAAGGAAAAACCACCCTAACCTTTCCACATAATTCAGATTACTTTTATACCTTATTTAGTAAGAGAAATCTGAATAAGTGGAATTGTATTTCAAATCAATTTTTAAAAGGATCCATCACTGGCAATATCTTTTAGTCTTGGTATAAATGACTTAACCTCAACACTGTCCTTTAATATTTGTACTAAATTTAACTTAAAAAAAAAACAAAAAAAACAAAACAAAAAAAAAAAAAACAAAAAAAAAAAACCAACTCTGGCTTGTCATGTAGTTTGTTGCTTAGTTTCTGTGGGTGGGTTTTTTTTTGTGTTGTTTTTGGAATTAGCTGGTGCTAATTCTGTTTTTGAAATGCAGTCAAGATGCACTTAAAAATACAGAAATACATTTGTATCAAGGAATGCTATTATAATTCTAAGCTCTTTTGAAATGATTGAGAGACTGACATTAGGGCTGTGATCCAAAGTCAGCAAAGATGACAGTGCTGTCTTAGTCTGTTGTCATTTTTGTTACAGCCTGCTTTTCAGTGGCATATTTCATTCCATCATTAAACATTTGCTGATTTTCCAATACTGATGTTTTCTTCACCTGAATATTCATCTTTTCTCACCCTACACTTAGTGGGTGTCTTTATTCGTTTTTAGCTTCACTCTTCTTCCATCCTGACATATTGTTTCCTTCTGTACATGTCTTCATCTCAAAGAATCTGTTGTCATCAGAGCTTTTCTGCTGGTAACACAAGATGGGTAGATTTTCCTCTACTGAAAGATAAGAGCAAGCAAAATGCCAGAGAGGACTGGAAGGGCAGCCAGGAGAGCTGGGAGGAGCATAACAATGTGCCTGTCTCCTAGATCAGTAGTATATTGCTTAAGAAATGACCTCAGAACATGATGTGTTTTCAAGGTGATTCTCCTCCATATTCTTCTTATACTATCACACAAAGTCATCTGTCTTAGGCAGAGCTGACCACAAAATGGTAGAGTTCTCTGTTCTTGGTGAAGTCAGGAGGGAGATCAGTGGAAGTGCAGCTAAGGACTTCTGGAGGCCCCACTTTGAACTATTCAGGCACTGGTAGGGAGAATCCTTTGGGAGTCTGCCCTGAAGGTTAAGGAGGTCCAGGAAGGCTGGATGTTCCTTAAGAAGGAAATCTTAAAGGTGCAGGAGGAGGCTGTTCCCATGTATTGTAAGGTGAGCTGGAGGGGAAGAAGTCTGGCATGGATGAACAGAGAACTTTTGCTGAGACTCTGGGAGAGTCTCCTCCTGAGACACAGGAGGAGCTTACCTCCTGTGGAAGAAGGGATGGGCAACTCAGAGAGAGTGCAAAGAAGTTGCTAGGATATGCAGACAATATTAGAAAGGCAAAAGCATGAACTCATCCTGGCCACTTAGTAAAAAACAACAAACATTTTGTTAGCAAATGTATTAAAAGTAAGACGAGGGCTGAGGAGAACCTCTATCCTTTCCTAGATGTGGAGAAGCATGATCACTGAGGATAAGAAGGCGGCTGAAGTTCTCTGTGCTTTCTTTACATCTGTCTTTAACAGTCAGACCAGTTATCCTCAGGGTAATCTATCTCCTGAACTGAAAGTCTCAGATGGGGAGCAGGATAAACACACCATGATCCAGGTGGAGGATGTTGGAAACCTACTCCATCTAGACTGTCACAAGTCCATGAAGCCAGATGGCTGAGAGAACTGGCAAAGATGGTTTCCAAGCTGCTTTCCACCATCTATCAGCATTCCTGGTCAGCCAGATAGTTCCCAGATAGGTGAACAGTTGGATTAGATGATCTTAAACATCTTTTTTCAACTTTAATTATTCTGTGATTCTATTCTATGATTCTATAGTCAGGATTCTCATTTAAATGGTCTGAGCTTTTCAGCACTGAGCATTCACTTCACTCATTAACAATTTTATGAGGCTGTTGCTTTAAAGGAAAGTTGTATTTGGCTGAATTATTTCTTTACAGCATTGCATTTTGCTTGGTTGTAGGTGGAGAAACTAGACTTACAGTCTTTTTCAAGTGCCCATCTGGCCTTGAGGACGGAATTATAAGATAACTCTTACCTTTTAAAAGAATTTATTTTCTAGAGAAATTCTGTTTCAAAATACTGTTTTATGCATATTTTCTGCTACAATTTGTTCCTTCCACTGCCAGGAGGGGTTGTATGATGAGGAGTTTCTGACTGACTAGATGTTTATGAAAAGCAGCTATGCATGTAGGACATTATCAAGGACATTATCAAGGGGACCTTTTTATCCCCATCAGGAAGCTGGGCACTTTCCCACTTTGCAATGGCTGCTTCACATTTGATTGACTAAAATATAATGTGTACGTGAGGTGGTTTGGTATTTTGATTTGCTACAGTCATGTGTTTTACTTTGTTTCTGACCTACTGAGTTCTCTGCCTCTCCATACAAGGAATTGATGGTACTTTTTGCAACTAAAATGTTGCTGCCCTTTGAGTAAAAAGGATATATGGGATACTGATGAACACTAATGGAAACTTTGAATTACGAGAATATTTTTTGAAAAATGGTCTCTCCCTGAGTGCTTCCACATTCAGTCTTGAGCTGGAATCCATGCCTTATGAACACCTTGTTTCCTGGCAGGATGAAATTGAAATTCTGCTTCCAAATGTGGCAAAATTTAGTTCTAGAGAGCAGACTCTTGGAAAAACTCTCCATGTCTTCTTTTGACAAATTCTTGTTTTGATGCTAAGAGAACGCTGACACACACTCCTGTCAAGACAAAGGAATGTATTTCAGAATGTATGGAAGAAGAAAAATCACATTTCCCCCTGATTTACTATTCACATGAGGCTCTGATGTTGCCGATCATTTAGTTTTTAGGAAAATGTAATATAAATGTGAAGAAGTGTTTGCAAGTGGTTGTTAGCTGGAAACTCTTTAATGAGAAGATAGCTGACAGTTCTAGTCCCTCAGATCAGTTTTTTTCCATGGAATGGAATTCTTAAAATTACTCAGAAGTCTACACCAGCAATCTAAAAATAATTTCCCATTTATATTATTCCTGACTATGCCTTATACCTCAGTAATATCTTTAGATTACATACATGTTCATGGTGACAATATTCTGACCTATTTGATCTACACATTATTACATTGTTATGACAACATATAAAAAGTTTCATTTGAGACAAAGTATAGTAACTTTTCACATGCCCATGGAAAGGGCCTGAGAGAGGACAGAGAGAAGAAATAAAGACTCTTTGCTATTTATTGCTGTTGTAGTCGTTTAATTTGTGAATATATCTTTGTTTATCACTGAATTTTAACTCTGTGCTTGTTGCTATCTGCCAGGTACTTTGTTCTGCACAAATTGAAAAACCTGAAATTTCTTGATACTCGACAAGTAACAAGGAAAGAGAGAGAGGAAGCTCTGGTTAGAGGTGCCTTCATGAAAGTGGTTAAACCCAAGGATGCTAAGGTAGGAAAGTGAAAGAAAAAAGCAACAATGTATTATTCATTAATACTGTTTTAATACAGCTCCAAAAACTAATATGTGTCATTGAGCTTAAAAGAATGTTTTGTTTTGTTGTTTTTTTTTTTTTTTTTGTCTTGTCTAAATATATGTAAGAACGATATGATATGCTATTGTAAAAGAATGCAGTTTTATGACAAGTTGTTCCCTGCCTCTGTGTTATGCACAAATGTCTGTTGCAGGGCTCACACCTACAACGTTTATTAACTTTTAGTGGAACAGATTATTTAAATTTTCTATGATATTTCTTAATGTGGTGTCCTGCTAATAAGCACTGACAACATCAGAGAAAGTTTAAGTAATCTGAGCTTTTGATACCACTTGTGTAAACTGAGCACATACTGCTGAGGCAAATAATGTAAATGTGATTTCTCCACTTTACCTCTTTTTGCTTTTTGTTGATCAATACAAGATAACAACACTGAGTTTGAGTGTTGCAATGCTGTAGATCTTTCTTAAAACTTCACTCAAGTTTTTGGTCTACCTGTTATCTGTGTACTGTTTTGTACCATTAGTAATTTATTGCAGATTTCCAGTAATGCTGAATAATAACACAGTAGTTGTGGAAACGCGCTGTTCAGTAGCATAACAGTGTCACTGGATAAATACATTATCACAAGTAAAATTGCCGTGCATAACAAATCAATTCAGGTTGATTCGTAGGTAACTATTAAAATGCTAATACTTCAGATAGAAGCATAGCTTTGGAGCACTGTTTATTTCTGCCTTCAGCTATCATATATGTGCTAAAGGAAATAATGCATGTTTAAGTTGTTGTGGATATCTTCTTCAGAGCAAACTGTCTTTACTGAATCTGGCGAAATGCAAGAGTTGAAATGTATTAAGTATGGCATGTGTATGCTGTGTGCTTTTATAATTCTTCCATCCCTATTTTATATCAGATGTAGTACTCTCTTAACTTTATTGCCAATTAGATTTTTCACTCAAGAGTCTGCTGTTTGAATTTTAACCAGTTCAATAGTATAAGACCTTTTCTGGATGAAACCTCTTTCCAAGTCAGTAGCTGAGAGTAAATTAATTCACAAAAGTAGGGGTAGCACCTATATGTGTAACTGAATCCTTTGTATTGTTTTGAATTATTTGCCCACTGTCATGGTTAAACCTACATTTATTTCATCAAACTTGTGAAAGACACAAATTTATTGTTATTGTTGTTTCATTAAGTTTTTTTTTTTCCTTCTGAATAAATGGTTTGGTATAAATTGCTGATGGTAAAATCACTGTAAATGCTTTTCATTACATGAAATAATGCTTTTTAAGGAACTACCAAATTATCCTCATCATACGAAATTATACACATATTACAGAATTGGCTAATTTAAAACAAAATTTAAATTGGGTGAAGAACCCAATCTGAGATATTATAAACATCTAAAAACTGTTTCGAATTCATGCTCATTTCCTAGGATATTCATGCTCTGTGTGCAAACTCTGTGAGAACACTGAAAATGTCCTTTGTGCAAAGATATTTTCAGATGTTGATATGTTTGCATGCAGTTGCTTATAGCTATCTCAAAGACAGTGAGAAGCAGCATTCACCTATATGTTACAAAGATGATGTGCACAATAACTGTGCTTTCAACTTCCATCATATGCTATATATTGGATATATAATTATTTTTGTTCTCTAGCCTTCAGGTTTCCTTCTGAAATTAATCTGGTGTATCAGCACGTTCATTGATCCCTCTGCTATGTAATTGTTGAGAATTTTGACCGGCTTCAGCCTAATTTAGCAGACAGATACTGGTAATATACTCTAAGCTTTCTGAAACTAGCTAGAGGATAGTACACTGCAGCAGAGTCTGCATTAGTCTTCAGAAAAACTCCATAAAGTGTTTACCTAGTGATGCAAGAGCCAGCTGTTAACAAGTTTCCTCAGTAGATCTTTGTCTGTCTTCCTAAGTTAGTATCTACGATGTCAGATTATGTTTGCCAGGAGTGGAGTTAGAATCATTAGCATTTGTTATTAGTGGATGCTGCATGGAAATATGTGATAGTGTAATATGAAATAGTGTAATATCAACAGTGAACCAATCAGACTTACTTTTTCTAGAGAAAAAACAACAACAACAACAACAACAACAACAAACCGTAAACTAAATCTAAGTCCCTCCCTCCATTATGGTAAGCAGGAGATGCTGTGGCTTATTCAGCATAAAAAGCAGAGTCTGTGATGTGGGGAGTTGTTTTCCTCTTACTCTTGACACAAAATACGTGAGAGAGCAAAATACCCCCTGAAGAAAAAATATACAAAATGAGAATAAAAGCAAGAAATTTTCATCTGACTAACTTGCGTTTACTGAAATACAAAAGTATCTAGCATTTACCAGTCATTGATCATAAATACTGTATTTTGTATAAATTTTTGGAGTTTCATTTTTCCCTCTTTTTTTCATATTTTTAACAGAACACTATTCTTTCACTTTGTTCTTTTCATCCTTTGTTTAAAATGCATCTGTTTGTGATATGGCTGTCTTATAGAAAGATGCAGTCATTTATTAGAAAACAGTTTAATATTACAGTGCACTGTTCCATCTCTTTATGTAAGTGAGCTGAACTTCATTTTTCTGTGATGCTTGTGTTTTCTTTTGTCAAAATATTGAACATAGTATCATGTCTGATTTTAATAAGGATTGGGTAAGCCTAGCTGGAGAAGAGGCATTGAGCCAGATGAGGTAGCTTCATTTAATGACCAGACCATGACCCCATTTCACTGACATAAGTGTAGATCAGAGTGGAAGATGCCTGTCCAGTGTGAAGTGTGTTTCTGGGCTTGACAGCACTTCACATCAGAATGACAGCTTAAGAATACGACAGTCAAAATTGCTTAATTATGTCCCAGCTTTGTAATTATTCATCCTGCTCTTATGAGTACAGTTGTCATTTCTTTGACATAATTATTTAAAACTGTACTCTCCCTTATTTCATAGGTTGTATATGAATTGTGCTTCCAAATGTTTAATCTCAAAAATTTAGAGACGTGAAACAGAATATCATTTGAAAATCCATTTTAAGATGCCATATTTTTATACTGTATATGATATATATAAACAAAATGAAGTGATGAAGTATTAAAGGGATCATAATTTCATTTTTTCAAAGGTCTGTATCCATGATCATTTAATCTAGATGATAAAATGTGGGTATATTCATTATATATAAAATGTGTTTCTGTGCTTACATACTGTTTTAGTTCTCTTTAAATTTCATTGCTTAGTACTGAGTAAGAATACTTGCTTTTAAAAAATGTGTTTCCCTGTATTTTGCAACCCCTCTGCCCAGCAGCTTTTTTTTTTTTTACTGTATTTTCAAGGTTAAGATTTTTATCAGTCATATTTATAGTGGCAAAAGCAAGCGGTGTATACTTGGTCAGATATAACAGTCTCAAAGGTCATAGGACCAAATCGTTAGCAGGAATATGTGGGTATACTTCCAAGTTGTTTTGCTTTATAGCATCTTTACCAGGAACATCTTGTCCAGTGAATATGAAGGAAATTCTGTACAACAAAATATGGCAGTATAAGTGTTTTGATTTATTTTTTCCTCTTGGATGTATTATTTTCTTCACAAATTATAATCATTTGTAATTCCTTTTTTCCAAGGAATAAATGAAGACACTTAAGTAGAAGAAAAGTCTAATATCTGTATTTCGTGTCATTAACAGTATGTGATTCTTGCTCATGCTGTGATCTGGAGGATAGAGAATGTTTGTTTTATTATGATAGTTAGACTAAATATTTAATGGTGCAGCTAAAGAACTAAGAAAATCTAAAATCTATAGTTCTGGTTTTGGTTCGTCAGTTTTCTTTGGTTTAAGATCATAGGAAGTTCTATTACATAAAAGTGACTGATGCTTTTTTAAAAATTCCATTACAATCAGATAATTGTAGAGGGGCTCTAGGGATTTTTGTCCATAACTATTTTAAAAAGTCATGATTTTCTTAAATATATATCCTGTCTCTTCCTAAAATGTACACCAGGCCTTTTTACTAACATGTCTCATGGATTTTCAAGGAAAGACTGGATGTGGTGTTGAGGGACATGGTTTAGTGGGAGCTATTGGTAATAGGTAAACGGTTGGACTGGATGATCTTTTAGGTCTTTTCCAACCTTGTGATTCTATGATTCTATGACTGCTATTTACCTCTCTCTAAATTAAGAAAATGGTGACTAAATAAAGACTAAATAAAAGGTGACAGATAAGACTTTGTCAGCTCAAAGTTCTTATTCTTTTACCATCACTGTGTAGAAATCGGGGCTTATGTGCTTAAAGCATTTGAAGCTGATGTAGAACCAAGGACTTTTAAAGTGTAAAGATCCATTTTGTCAGTGAATTGCTAGATAGTAAGGTACCTCTTTGAGATAGCTTCTACAAAATAGATCTCCTTATGGTCCACTGTGTCAAAGTTTCATGTAGTAAAAAAGAACAAAACCATGAATTTAAGATTCCAAGGTAGACTATGATGCAGTAATATTGACTTCAAGACACTGTAACTGTGATGTTATTCTTTGACGTGCTGAGCTGTCCATTTTGCTCTTGGAAAGTTTAAGCATTTTAAGGAACAGTCCATAATGGTTGTCTGTTTGCCAAATGTATGTGAACTCAGCACTTAACACCATGAGTCCAGAAACAGAATTTGAATAGTCATATTCAGAAAAAGAGCAAGACTACTCTGTTCAGAAGACTTTTTACAGTCAGTAAAACTATCCTCAATGTGTACAGTAACAAAAAATGAGTTCTCAAAATATGGATATGATTGTTGAGAGAAAAAATCTGTTGTGAGATCTGATGGTGCTTATAGGGTAAATTATGATATGAGATTTTAAGAAATGGGAAATCTAATTCTGACTTTGCACACCCTGAATAAAGGGATTAAGAGTATAACTGAAAAGTTATATATTAGACTAATAAACAGAAAGCTGGT